ATCGTTTTGCTTGTTCTTCAAATTTATAATTGACGTCGTAGTTGTCGATTTTACATTGCAACGAACGCGTGCAAACTTGTAAAATACGATAAAATGTAAACGATATAGAGAAGATTGATTTCCCAATCGCGACCTATTTAGATTACGTGAGAAAAATGAGACTGTTATTACTTAAGATGCATTTTCCATAGTATTTATAAAAGATTTATTTAACGAAGATCGGTAACCCTAACACGTAAGCGGTCGTTTATTTCCCACCAGCTGCGTACTTTTCATCATTCGGTAATATTGATGAAACTAGTGGCCTTTGTCCGAGGCACTTAGATCCGAGAAAGGTTGGGTCTATCGGTGTACGTAATGTATCAATCCTCGACGAAGGCGTAGCTAGACCGTGTAGGAATAAAAGTCGGTACACCAGAGCTTTAATCTTCGTCATGTTCGACCTGCAAATCCGTTGAGATACCTTTCCCCGCGAAAGGTCAGGGCAAGACAGTTGTGTGAGTAGGTAGTTCAGAATTCTCATTGCAACCGTTACCGGTAAAAGGAACGTGAATCGAGTGTAACATTGATGCTCGCGAAACTATCAAGACACTCCGATTACGATTCACAGCTCCTTCAAATCTGTTAAGCAGGCAAGGACGTCGCTTCTTAAATCGTGCGCCTTTCTACTATAATTTATATAATTAAAGTCTCGCCTCGTATCATAATGTTGCGGTACGTCGTATTGCGAAACAAATAAGAACTTTCGATCCTCTAGAAACCGATTACATGACTCGATCCGATCGAAGCATTTACAGAAACGCGTTAAACCATGATGAAGTTTGAACTCGCTTTGTGTGCTCTCTGCGCGTGAAAGTCTACAATTAGAAGAGGTCGAATAATAAACAAACTCATAACCATGATGAGGCACTTAATGCGTTTCTGATGCGACAGTGACGTCATTTTTCCCGCATGCAAGAACAAACGTTTACATTTTTATATTTCAGACGTCCGTCTCTAACGAGTTAACAATTGTATCCCCGAAGTTTATATTCTTAATAAATCTTTCGCGCAGAATATTCTGCTGTATTGTCGAGAAGGAGTGGACATACCAGCAAGTAATAATGCATATATGTAATAGCGTATAATCGACGAGGTAATGAACCTATTTGTGTGCGAGAACAAAATTTTTTAAATTAATTAGAGAAGAAATGATCGTTCGATAACAGCAAAACAGCTCCATTGAAGAAATCAATCCTGTATAGCTTCTGATAATTTTGCAATTGTACGTTTTCTTTTTCAGTAGGTATAATTTGAATACGTTAAATTACTCCATTAACCTAAATGTATTCAAATACAATATTGCGAAAAGATTTTTTAATATACTGAAACGTTGAAATCGTTTTAAGATTCAATGTAACGAGACATCGTGTTAATGATATCAGAGTATTTACCAAAAAATTGCAATTCCTTTCCCAAAAAATATGCCTCTACACTGCTTGATAAATATGTGAACAATTTATTTTTTTTTTATTAAAATAACTTTTCAAACAACGTTCAACAAAAGCTTAATATATGTTTCGTTTAAACGAGAGGCTAAAAGGTTTTTCAACTTCATGACACATTTCGACGAAATATTCTCTTTCAATGATCTTCAGGGGAGTAATCAGTAAAACGAATCAAATTTCGAAGTTAATGACACTGACCTGGCCGAATCTCTCTCACTCTCACACTTACTCTCTCTCTCTCTCTCTCTCTCTTTCTCTCTCTATTTCTCTTTCTCTCTTTCTCTCTCTCTCTTTCTCTCTCTCTCTCTCTCTCTCTCTCTCTCTCTCTCTCTCACTCTCTGTCAGAAAATTCATCAC